GCAATGTAGGGGTAGCGTCCCATACCACCACCCACACTAAGGTACCACCCTAAGGCCACCAAAAGTGAACTTACCATTCATCCTTTGCACCTTTAAACAATAAACCATATAAGAGACATAAACATCACATAAGTCACATCATCACATTAACACTAACATCTAAGACAACTCTAAGTCATACTTGTGCAACGTATGAGTAGCATCCCATACTACTACTCACACTAAGTTTTTCTTTGAAGTCACTATAGACAAGGCACATTCATAAACAATAACTCATGATAAGGAAGTAACTCATAATACAATCCAAGTATATCATGCATCATCTCATTTAAGAATAAGTCACATTCTTCATTAACTTTATTACATTAAGAGCACTTTCATTCATTAGACATTAGACCAACATTCTTCATTAACTTCATTTAGAGGTGTTTCATTCATTAGTCATGAAGACTTAGAGAACTCACTATGAACCTATCAAAGCCTACTCGGGCAATGCATGGATGGCATCCCATACTACCACCCAAACTTCATTGAACTTCTCAAGAAACCATAGTGCACATCTCACATGATGGGAATATGCATTAACCGACATAGACCATGAGAGCAAAATTATGGAATCCGGTGTAATATGACCCTACATCGAAGAAAGGTGTTCTACTTGCCTAAGGTAAAACTAGGTGATATGTTAGCTTTGGTAAGAAGACCACTGGCTAATATATATCCTATGTGGGCACACAGTTATGGGATAGGAAAATCTTCATTGGAACTATAACCTAACATTGGGAGAGTTTCCATCTTACCATATCCACTCGGTTCTTAGCCTCTATTCCCATAGAGTAGTTCATTCACACTAACATCATTGTCCTTGAGTGGGCTACGAACACTAGGTGTACCAACCCAAAGTACATTACACAAGAAAGGGCCACCATCACTAGGTCTACCGATTCAAGGTACATTACGGATAACTCATTGACTTTCCAAGAAAGGTACCATAAACATTCGGTCTACCGATACAAGGTCATCATTTCACACATGAAATGGAAACCAACACTAGGTCTACCGATTCAAGGTTCATCACATTAGTTCCTAGACTCATCATGAAGGGCTACCAACACTAGGTCTACCGGTTCAAGTCATAGCTTAGAATACTTCATCATTCATTTATGAAAGGAATGCTATTGGCCTATCGTTTAATATTCATCAATTCAAGACACATTCATTAGTCAATTATGAACGGAATGCCATAGGCCTATCGATTCATATACATCAAGTCAAGACACATTCATTGCACAAGAGAGGATGTCTAATCCTACCAACTCAAGATTCAACTATACCTTCATTAATTCAAGAAGAGGGTGCCTAAGCCTACCAATTCAATGATACTTCATTCATGATCACATTCATCCATATAAGAGAAAGATGCCTTAGCATACCAATTCAAGATACACACTCACTTTTACATTCATTCATACAAGAATAGGATGCACAAGCCCACCAATTCAAGATATACTACATTACCTTATAGAGTCCTTCACATTCCATCATCAACATTCATGAGTGTCAATTGAGAATATACTATAAACAAAAACACAATTACATTCTATATAGGATCAGCATTCTATCATTGAAATCAGATGCATATCCTTCACATTATACATAGTAAGTAAAAACCTTCACCTTTCAAGTGGATCAACATCCTTAGCACAATTCAACTTCAACATGTAATTAGGTTTTAAATTTCCCTTTCAAGTTCATGATCAAAAGTCACCAACACACCAAAAATTTAATACAATTAAGGCATGTATAATGATACAATTCAACAATCTAAATCAATCTAGGAATAATCCATCAACATTCATTCATTACCAACAAACCCACTTCATAAGGCACAATTTAGGAATTGAGAGAAATCATGGGTTCATAGAGTATTATCATCATAAATCATCAATTAAACACCAACACAATCATAATATGTTATTAGAAACCATTTGAAAATGTTTGATGAAAGAACCCATGAGATTGAGTTAAACCCTAGATTTTTCATACTTTGAAAACACCTTTGATTTGGCTCCTTGAATGAAAAGTTAGACAAGGATCAAGACTAACATACCTCTATGTTGATTCCCTCACGAAATTGGAGGAGAAAACATGATGCTTGAACCGCTAGCTTTAACTTGACCTTGATCTCCAATGGAGTTTCTAGAGAGAAGACTTTTTGGAGAGAGGTTTCTAACTTAGGGGTTTTTTGAAATAATGAAGTCTAAAATATGTTTTAATGTTTTAATACTCTTAAAATATCTTAATAAACATAAAATAACCGTCCAAACATTTAACTAGCCAAGGGAGGAATTTACCATACCAACCTTGGCTTGGCAGAGTCTAGACAAAAACCTGTAACCATTCACGAAACCCTCATCCACGGACCGTGGATGGGGTCACGGACCATACTGTCACCTCCATGGTTCGTGGATGCAACATGGTTAGGGTACCCTTGACCTACAGAGGCCATCCTCGTGGCGTGGATGGACCTACGGGACGTGGATCCCTTCCGTAGGTCACTCCATTTTGGGCAGTCCTGGTTTTCCTTGAGGTCTTGGAGGTTAAGCTTAGGGTCCTCCTCAATTACCCCTAGGGTGGTCCATGGGGAGTCGTACCTTGACGTTTAACCCCCTAAACCCCTTAACCATAGCTCGGGACACCATAACATAACATAAAACCTCACTCAAACTCAAACAAGCACACATTAGGCTATAGTTTCACTTATTTATTCTACGGTTCGTTGCAATGATTCTGAGATTTGGACTCATTTACGGCTTTATTTTGATAGTATAATTGTCCTCAAATGCCTAATTTGTGCTATAAACTGATGTTAAAGCCTTGATTTTTAGGTATGTGAGCTAAGGAGCAAGGTAAGGATACTAACAAGAAAAAATGAGCCAAACAAGTTGAAGAAGTGGAGGAAAGCCATCCTGGTGATTGCCAAGACCACTCGGCGGTTCGCCGAGTGGCTCTTCAGTTTGCCTAAAGTTCTAGTGTTCCAGTCCTGAGGGAAGAAACCAAGCCGGTGATAGATATGGGCCGTCAACGAATTTCCGATCCACTCCGCGACAACAAGTTGGATCGCCCTAAGTTACAGAACCTAGGAGGCTGAAGATCAATACAAAATAGCGATGAAAGGGAGCAAAGGGTGGATCGCCGAATGACTCGGCGAGGCCCGACTTATCTTCCTTAATGGCTTTTCCGAAAAACTTTTTGGGAACTTTAAATTTAGTTTTGAACTATAGATTAATTATCATGGGATCATTCAGTAGAGTTTCCTTTGAGTGGTAGAGTTTGATTGTAGACTTTGAAGCTTTTGGAGGCTCAAACTTGAAGATTTGCAAGTGGGTCTTTGAATTTAACCTTTGGAAAACATTGTAAAGGCTTGGAGACTATTACCTAGATGATGGCTAATCGAGTTGGTAATTTTTTTTATATTATGATGATGTTTAGCAAAAACACCAATTCTTGGGGTGTGCTCATGTGATTATGGGTTGAATTAGCCTATGGGTATTGTTAATTACTGATTTAAATGCTTAATTGAAGTGGGTTTTAATTGATAGTTGTGTTTTAAACTAAGAATTGTAGTTGCAGCTGTAATCCGAACTTTGAATTCTGAGCTTGCTTGAAAAAGAGGTTTCAGAATCAAAGCTTTCAATTGATGATTGTAGTTATTGAGGTGATATGGGTTTAGCTCGAAAAAGTAAATCTTAATCTCGATTATACCTATCTAGCTCGAGAGAATAGATTAATTAAGGTGTGGGCTGTTCTTAATTGATAAGCTTGTTGATGTTCGAAAGAAATCACTTGATTCGAGATAGTTGTTCGAGAGAAAGCTATTTCACTTATAGGCTAGCCTACCCACTAATATTTAGCTATTTTTTAGTCGTTTCCATTACCTATATTGTAAAATTTGCCTATAATCGATCACATCCCAAGAATTCTTCTCTATATTGTTATTTTCTTAGTGTTTGATTGTGTTGTAGCTGATAATTGCAAACCAAAACCCCCCATATGACATTCGTGTCATCCCCTTAGACTTGTTTACATGTCTTTTTCGATAAGTTTTATTCCTATAACTGATTAGACCTCATTTGTACTTCATACTTGAATTTGAACACGTACCACATTTGTTGGGTTTCATATTAGTTAACGATTGTTTGCACCTAGAATTTGATGAGGTGTGCTTGAAATGTTAATCAGTGTACAAATAGTATTTGGACTTGTTCGTCACCATCTTTATTGGTGATATCCTCATTTATTCTCGAAGTGAGGAAGAGCATGCAACTCATATGAGAGTTGTTCTGCAGACTCTCAAAGATCGCCCGTTATTCACTAAGTTCGTCAAATGTAAACTCTGGTTACAACCCGTCACCTTCCTTGGTCATGTTGTATCCAACGAAGGGATTCGAGTGGAGTCACAGAAATTTAAGGCAATACAACACTAGCCCAGACCCACCTCCCTAATAGATATCATAAGTTTCTTGGGTTTGGCTGAATATTACAGGAGATTTGTTGAAGGATTTTCATCCATCGCATCCCCATTGACCAAGTTGACTTAGAAAAATGTCAAATTTCAGTGGTCAATCAGATGAGTGTGAGAAAACCTTCTAAGAACTGAATACTAGGTTGACTACAACTCCGGTCTTGACTCTACAGATGGTTTAGAAGGTTATGTGATTTATTGCGATTCATCCAGGGTTGGCCTAGGTTGCGTGTTGATGCAGCGGGATAAGGTAATAGTTTATCCTTCTAGACAACTTAAGGTCCACGAGAAGAACTACCCGACTTATGACCTCAAGCCTGGAGCAGTAGTATTTTCCCTAAATATTTGGTGACACTACTTGTATAGTGTTCATGTGGATGTGTTCACAGATCATAAGATCCTACAGTATGTGTTCATCTAGAAAGAGTTGAATCTTCATCGGAGGAGATGGCTTGAATTCCTCAAAGACTATGACATGAATGTAGTTTACCATCATGGTAAGGCAAACATAGTAGTTGATGCTCTCAGCAGGATGTATATGGGTAGTGTAGCACATGTTGAGGAAGAAAGGAAAGAGCTAGCCAAAGATGGTCACCGACTTGCTCGCTTAAGAGTTGGCTTTACAAACATGTCTGGTGGTGGTATGCTAGTTCAGATAGATAAAAATGTTCATTGGTAGCAGAGGTTAAGGAAAAACATGATAGTGATCCTATATTACTTTAGTTGAAAAGTGTGATCCATCATCAGAAAGTTCAGGTTTTTTCCCAAGGGGGAGATGATTTGCTTCGTTACCAGCGTCGCTTGTGTGTTCCCAACGTGAGTGAGTTGAGGCAGCACATCCTTACAGAAGCTCATAACTCCATATATTCCATTCATCAAGGTGCCACTAATATGTATCATGATCATTGGGAAGACTTTTGGTGGAACGGAATGAAGAGGGATATAGCAGATTCTTTGGCTAAGCGTCCTAATTGTTAACGGGTTAAGGTAGTACATTAGAAACCAGGAGATATGACTCAGGAGATTAACATTCCTACATGGAAGTGGGAGGTGATAAACATGGACTTCACTACCGGTTTACCTCATACTCGAAGACAACATGACTCCATTTGGGTGATAGTGGATAGAGTTACAAAGTCTGCTCACTTCTTGGCAGTCAAGACAACAGATTCAGCGCAGGACTATACCAAACTCTACATCCATGAGATAGTCAGGTTGAATGGAGTTCCCTTGTATATCATCTCAAATAGAGGTCCTAAGTTTACCTCTCATTTCATGAAATTGTTTAACAAAGGTCTTGGTACTAATGTAAATCTCGGTACAACATTTCATCCACATACGGATGGTAAGGTAGAACGTACCATTCAGACCTTAGAGGACATATTGAGAGCTTATATGATCAATTTCAAGGGTAGTTGGGATGATAACCTACCTCACATAGAGTTTGCCTATAATAATAACTTTCAATCCACTATTCAGATGGCCCTTTATGAGGCATTATATGGGCGTAGATGTAGGTCACCAATTGATTAGTTTGAAGTAGGTGAAGAAGCCTTGATAGGGCCTGATTCAGTTCATGAGGCTATGGAGAAAGTTCAATATATCAGAGATAGACTATAGATAGCTCAAAGTCGTCGAACGCCCTATGCAGATTTTAGGAGAAGGGACTTAGAGTTCAAAATCATTAACTAGGTTTTCGTGAAGGTGTGATCTATGAAGGGAGTAATGTAATTTGTCAAGAAAGGGAAGCTCAATCCTAGATATGTATGTCCTTACATAAACTTGAAAAGGGTTAGTAATGTGGCCTTTGAGTTAGAGTTGCCAGCAGAATTAGCAATGGTGCATCCAGTCTTTCACATTTCCCTGTTAAAGAAGTGTGTGGGTTATCCGACATCAATAGTACCATTAGATAGTGTGGCTGTGAAGGATAGTCTCATTTATGAAGAGGTGCCAATTGAACTTCTTGGCCGTCAGGTTCGTAGGTTGAGAAATAAAGAAGTAGCTTCAATGAAGGTTTTGTGGAGGAGTTAGTCCGTAGAGGGAGCTACTTGGGAAGAAGAAGCAGCCATGAAGGCCAAGTATCCTTACCTATTCCCTTTCGATTCTGTTTTAGCTTGAGGTAATAGTTCCTCTCCAGTCTCTCAGTTTGCTCTTATGTAAATTCAGTTTCAGTATCTTGTTCCTTCATTTATCTTTGCATTTTATCATATTTGCATGAAGAAGATACTGAGATCAGTTAAATATTAGTTCTTAGTAATTAGTGGTAAAGATTGCAGCTCTTTCCCTCCATACTCAGCTTGTTTAGACTTCATTCGAGGATGAATGTTCCCAAGGGGGAGATAATGTCACTCCCCGGATTAGAGAAAGAGCCAGTAGAAGATTTTTGAATTTTTACAGGTTCCACTGACAGAGTCCAAACCACGGCCCGTAGGTATGGTTCGTGGTTGGCCACCCAAAACTCCCACGAAAAATACGACCCACGACATGACGTACAAACAGTAGGTAGGACCATGGTGTATGGTGCATGGTCAGTGGATCGTAATCTCTAACACCTAGTCTTAGATACCAAATGACGCCCTGCCAGGATGGATCGTCGATCAGTTCACGGTTCGTTGGTCAGGGTCTATCGATGACCTTGTCAGTTATTAAGTCATGGTCATTTTTGTTTTTCCCCTATGCTTTGGACATTTAAATTACATCATCTAATACCTAAAATTCACCATTTTACTCATTTTAAGCCTAGTAATTTATTCAGACCTTACCTAAAACCTTTATTTACCAATAATCATAAAAAACATAGAGCATAAAGAGAAGAAAGAGGCATCAGTTTCCCCAAGAACAGTCAGAAAGTTTCTTCAAGTTCCTGCCCCGAAATCAAAGGAATTCTCCGTAGATTTTCTCACCAGGTATGTGGGATTTCATTAGTGGATTCCTTTCATCCAGTAGGTCCCTAGAATTCAGTAAGTTCCTTCATTCTCCATATCTTGTTTAGACCCAGGGTTTCTAAAACCTAGGATATATACTGTGATTTAGTTGTTATAGTAACCTAAATTGAAATAGCTTGTTTCTTGGAAAGTTGCCTAATTCCTTGTGCCATATACGTATTCAGTTGGGAGTAGACTTAGCACCGAGTTGGACTAGGGTTTAGTGTACCCTCATAGTCCCATAACTACGTGCCCCCGTAGGATTATAAGTCCCCTCTGTTGGGCATTAGATTTAGTGATCACATCACTCATGCATTTATACCACTGGCAAGGTATATTGTGTCCTCTCGATTGGACATATACATAAGACTCCATGTTTAGCTCACGTGGTTTTATGTCGGTTAATGGTAGCTTCCACAGTCAGACTCGCAGTTTATTTGACAAGGTTTTTAATATATACGTCAGCATTCAGTTCAACATGTCATTTTCATGATTAGTACATGGTCATTACATTAAGTTTAGCTTTTTAGTTATATTTTAGTAGCTATATCTGTACTGAGTTTATGTCACTACTCAGTTATGCTTTATTCAGCTTACATATATTTGTTCCGCTGTTTGGAAGTGTTACGATATGGGAGCAGGTAGTATCTATATCATGCATGCTTAGTAAATTCCAAGTACTCGCGCATATCTGTGCTACATAATTTCTTGATATAGGTTCAGGTACTTAGCATCCTGATCACGATTAGATCGATTCTCGGTCTGCATTCAACAGCTTCAGTGGTGAGTCCTCGTATTCCGAGGATAATACACATGCTTTCATTTTAGTATTTACATTTAGTTTTCAGTTTTGTTAGAGTTAGCTGGGGGAATGTCCCAGTAACTCAACTCTGTTAGAGTCTATTCAGACATAGTAGTGGAATCAACTTGAATTGTTAAGTTTAATCTTTCAGTTGTTATTAAACTCTTAGTATGTTTTATACATTCAGACTAGTTGGGTATTCCCCACTTTCAGTTATCCATTGTTTTAGCTTCTGTATAGTATATGTTTTATCCAGTTATTCTCAGTATGCTTGATATATGCCTGACATAGGGTTAGCTTGGGTCACTCGTGATCCTAGGTCCCGTGCTATGTCAAGGGGATAGCCTTGGGGCGTGACAAGTAACAATACTTCACAAGCTGTGTTTGAAGCCTTTTAAGATTGAGCAAAACTACAACTTTTCTAACTTCCTAGTCATTGAGAAGCCTTAAAATTCCCAGTATAATGACCAGTTTGGCATCTGTACAAATCATATCTAATTGTTACAATATGTGTTATTCAATCATTCTTTTGTTGCTTGAATATATGTTACTGACGCTACTTGATGCCTAACCTTGTCTAGTAATGCTCGATACCAATTCTACAAAAAATAATGTATAAGATGAAGTATTATCTTCCAAAGGTTAGAATTTCATATACAATTGTGATTTTTGTCATGTTCTTTGGTTGTTAGCCTTAAATATTGTTGGAATTGTTCTCTTCCATATATGAATTTTGTCATTAATTACCTAGGTAATTCGGGCAAACTGAAAGCACCTTGTCATTCGAAGGTGAAACTTGAGCAAGGTATTCTTTCGCTCCTAATTCTTTTTTTGGATTTTCAACATGAAAATACAATTTCTGTGGAAATTGTTAAGATTTTCTATCTTTTTTAAGCTAAAGACTCATACTTTTTCCACTTGCTCCTTTAATTTTCCTTCAGAATTTTTAAACACATCTCCCTCTTATCCAACCAAATTAGAGCAGCCTTTCCTTTTTCATCCCGTTAAATTATATTTATATATTTTCTTAAATGAGTGTTACTATGATGTGAGGCCAAATATATATATATATTTTAATAATTATTTACCTCCCATTTATTATTTATACAGGTTTTGATGTACGTGCGTTGCACGTGTATTTTAAAAAATATTGTGAATATTATTAAATGAGAAAATTAAGTAAGAAATTATAAAATGAATGATAAAGTATAAGTTCCTATGAATAGTGGATGTAAACTTTCTTATGATTACTACTGAAAGTTAGTCACTCTTAAAATTGGATAAGACACAAGTACCCCCTAGACTGTGACTGAATTCACAAAAACACACCTTAAATAAACTAAGATAACATTACCCACCCACCCCACCCCGCGCAAACTTATTTTTTTGTAATTTTGTACACCTTTTGGCTTATGTAACACATTAAATAACACCACACAATTGAGGCACGTGATAAATGTTTGGATGCATGATACGTCCGAACATACACTTCAATTAAGAAGTATAAACGGTCTAAGTCAATTTATAGAACTCAACGTAAGTTCAGGTCAATCCCACAGACAATTCTTTACAAAAATGAATTCACCATCACGTCTATCCAAATGTTGTTATTATTTCCTAGAGAAAGTAATTACGGAAGGTAAAATGGGTTTAGTTGCCAAGTTCAAGTAACCAATATTGTTAAACAAAATCTAGATTAACAATTAACAGAGTATTGATTTCAAGGTTGTATTGATAAGTGAATGAAACATGGGTTGTATTTCACATGACATTACAATCTAGTGTTAGTTCATGAATGGGTTTCAAGTAATTTATTCTTTGCAAATTCTAGGCAAGTTAACTATATCAAACACCTCTCAGTTTAGTTAGATAACTTCCACTAAAATCCTCTCGGTCCTCGATTGTTAACATATTTTACCCTCGCACACAATGATGTTAAAGTTCTCTTCTCTCGAACTTGAACTCTAACTCCATTTCATCAGATTAAACTCAATTTTTTCCCAACTATCCATTTTCTCTCGAACAATTGATAGACATAAACTGATTCTAATGCATGCACTCATTAGAACAAATTAATAACGAAGGTTTAGTTATATATTGCAAATACAAATCATATTCTACTCGTTGTGTGAATCCACACTTAGATTTCCGTCATAGTTCCCACAACCCTAGTTGTGGTGTTTAGCCACTCATGATTTTAACTAAACAAACAAAGATTTGTAAGGAAAACATTAAGAGAAATCACTTACGAA